GAGACCAAGTGCAAAACCTATAGAAGAGGAAACATTAAATTGTTGGAAGCAGTAGCCAGTTGCCTCTCTCCATGTTGATGTAACAGCTAAACAGAACCCCAGGCCAGATGAAGCTTCTGCAAAGAGGAAAAAACAAGAAAAAACATGATTAAAGGTTAGAAAAACAACAAAAGCAAACTTGCAGTGTATAAGAATAAAGTATCAGAGTGAGAATGAGGCTGTGCTAAACCTGCTCATCATAACATCAAATTTATTGTGTAAATTTCATCTCATGGTGTTGTCTGTTAACTAATGTGCAATTACTATTTAATACCCTCTGCAATAACCTGTTTCTTTATATTTGATACCCAGTGCAATAGTTATATTGATAAATACCCATCTACCCTGTGCAACAATCCTGTATAATAATCCTGCTTTTAAAAAAAGGAGACTTCAGCCTTCTTCTTTTTAACTATTTTACCCGATGTAATGAGTACATCTCTCCACTGACAGCTCAATAAAATCAATCAATCAATCAATAATGCTTTCTAACAAACCTCAGAGGCTGTTAAAGAACATTAAGTCTGGCTAAATCAAATACTTTTAGATTTCATATTTATGCTGCTCCTTGAAATTGAGATACATTTGAAAGGCAGCTGGCAGCACTGGCCTTTATTTAGGGTTCTGAGTGTATGGCTATATTAGTATGCAAATAACACTTTTCTGATAAACAAAAGGATTTCCCTTTCCTTATAGATTAATTCATCAAAACCTGAGAAAATTCATTAAAGTTTGAACTGTTTCGGGACAAAGTTTAAGACAATTTTATTAAAACACATTGTTAAACAGTGGTTATAAGGTCACTATTGAAGCAATATGTTTTCTCTATGAATAACATGAATTTCAGCTGGAAATCACAGTAAATAACCAACCATACCAACTAAGGCAAGTAAAAAAATATGGATCCGGTTATAACTGGACCAATACCAGTACTTGAAGGCTGCGAAAATCAACATAACTTCTTGCTGCTTTACTAAAGAACCCTTTAATCTGTAAAAAATGCATTTGAAGGGAACATTTACTTCCTTGTCTGGCAACATATTGTAAGTCAATGATTTTCCTTGCTTGTGTCCTGCATGCTGATGATGCATTTACACGTGAATAAGTTGGACATGTAATATGTTATTGAGTAATGGTCTCAGTACTTGTAGTTTAAGGCATTGTGGTCTCACAAGCCATGCCTGAACTAAATGCAAAACAAAATCTCAGGTGCTGAGATTTGATTGAATGATTTGATTTATCAAACAAGTCTCAGAAGTAAAGTATCTTTGTTTTGTTAGAATACAAAAAAAAAAAAAAATCTGTTTCCAAAAGCAAATCTGCAAACATTTAGACTTATCAGAAAACTTTTACTATTTGCTGCTGCAAATACTTTGATGCATTTGGTTATTTTCTTTCTTATTAAAATTACTGTGCAAAACGCAGCCTACAGGAATCAGGCACAAGAGAATGACACATAAAGCCGTTCAGGTATTCCACAGGAGGCCCATCAGATTGTATCAGTTCCATCCTCTTTTCTACATTTTTCTTTTTTTCCTAAATGCCTACATGGTCATGCTTCTCAGGTGCTTAGTGACCTAGCAGTAGTGCTACTTAGAGTTAGTGGTTCATTCACTCGTGGAGCATCAAGTTGTAATCGTAAGATGCCTTTTACATACAACTTCTCTCTGACAAACAGCTTTATTCCATGAAAGGATTAACATGGGGAATTCCTTCCCAGTACAGCAAAAAAGTGAAATATGACTGGCATCACTTCATTCCAAAATTGAAGCTCCTACTAAAGAAAAAAAAAGAACTGTGCCAACATGAATTATTTCAATTGTTTCTTGTTACTAAATTAGAGGTTATGTGTTTGATTATTATTTCTTGTATAGTCATTGTCATTGTTATTTGTACCATCTTTAGAGATGTTTTCCTGTCATTCAAGCCTTTAAATATTAATTACATCCTATATAACCAAGGGCCAAACAATCAGGGATTCAATACATTTTTCATATAGGAAATCTATACTTTTCCAAATTCCACTTCCTAGAGCTATAGAGGAAAAAGGAAACTAGGGAGGTAAAAATGACATTACATAGCAAGACATGACCTAAGGAATAAGTGGTATCATAGAGTTGGGAGGATACTGTAAGACCGAGGAAAGCAATGACAGAGGGAAGGAAATACAAAAAGGGATGAAGGTAGAAAGGCGGCCAGAAGAACACATTAAAATGTTGAATGAAACAGGGAAAGGAAGAGGGAAAACAAGCAAGAAAGGAGCATAGGAAATATAAACAAAGGAGACATGAAGGAAGGAAACAAGAAGCATAAGAACAGACAAAAGGAAGAAAAGGCTCAATCAGAGATGGAAGGGTAGATAGAAGAAAAAATAAAATGATCTAACCGTATCGAAGGAAGGAAGGAAGGAAGGAAGGAAGGAAGGAAGGAAGGAAGGAAGGAAGGAAGGAAGGAAGGAAGGAAGAGAGACAAAGGTTAGTAAATACATGTTTTCCACAGTTAAAGTGAAATTTTAAATAAACCCTTCCCTCCTGAGCTACCAAATGCCACACTATAAATACTGACACGTAAAGACACTTGGTTCTTGTATCATATCTTTACTGCTTAAAACATTCCTCCACACAAACACACGACGAAGCAGAGCGGTCTAAGTTAAGTAGGTGCCACATCCAAACTCATTTGATGAATATAAAGGGAAATGTTTTGGGATTAACGTAATCATTTATAGGCTCAGGCTATTTCAATTTATATGGAGAACTTTGCTTAGACAAAAGCATACATATCCCTTGAATTGTCAACCTGAATTCTTCATTGTATTTTGAGACAATTTTATGCAGCAGACTTACACTTAATAATGTCACTGTGAAGTTTAAGATACATTGTTTCCAATTTTCTAATGTAGAAAAACCTTGAAAAGTATGGTCTGGGTTTGTATTAAGCTCCTCCCCAAAAGAACAAAAAAATTGGCACAAAAAAAGCTTTTGTAAGGGAACTAATTAGTGAAAACACGTCTCCTCTCTATGATTGAATTTCAGCTCTGTGAAGGCCAGAGAGTTTTTTTTTTTTTTTTTTTTAGAAAACATTATAGAACAAGAGCATCACGAAGGTGAAGGAACACAAGCGACAAATAGGGGAAAAGTTGTGGAGAAGTTTGAAGCAGCGTTGAGTTATAAAAAGAGTATAATCAAACCTCCCATCCAGATATAGAAAGAGTATGACACATCTGCAAAAACCTTCTTAGCCATGGCGTCCATCTAAAATGACAGGTTGGTTAAAAAGATCATTCATCAGAAAAGAAACATTCTGTGGGAACTGCTGAGAACAAAAATGTTGGAGAGAAAAATCTGATATAGAACATCTTTTAGTCTTATATCAGTCCAGCAAGTCTAACCAAAGCAATTTTTGAAAGAAACTAAAGTTAAAGCCAGAAGAAAATCTGTCAAATGCAGCAAATGACCTGCATAACCTCACTTCATCATGAAGAATGTAATTGAACAATGCATTAATTACAATCTAAGTACGTACCTAAATTCAATTGAGTATCTGTGGAAAGACTACCTGAAGTTAACAGACACCCAAATCAGTTTGCTTCAACTTTATATTTGTGTTGGTTTAAAGATATTGGGCAGGTAAACAAAAATTGTACTCAAGGTGAACCTAACTTCAAAATATTTCTACTCAACTGAGGAAGAAATTACTTCAGTAAAAATAAAAAGTATTTTACAAAGAGTTCCATACTTCCTGCTTTATCATAATCTTATACCTATACTTTAGAAACAAGACAAAAAAATAATAATGATACATAAAAATTACTTATATCTCTTATAAGAACAGAAGAAATATTATATTTTTTAAATTCACTTGCCTTTCAAATCGCACAAGAAGTCCAGCAGATTTAACATTAAAACAAGACTGCTTGTGTGTATACATAGGAGTATCACTTTACAATGTACTGTGTGGGTGTGTATCTGTGTATGGTTGGTTAAAATGTACTTGTTCTTCGTTTATTGAATAGATCAGAGGTGGGTGTGTAACCACAAGATTATAATTCATTTAGAGTACCTTTAATCAAAATAGAATTATTTAAGTAGAAACTAAAATTACTGTGCATCAAAGCTACTAAAAATATCTCACTCAAGTAAGTTTAAAATTGTAAATTTAACTCAGTAATGCCCACCTCTGTTGGTGTTCATGGCATAAAACACATTATTGTGTTGGTCATCTTGTTCTTACGTTTCCAAATGTAAGAACTGAACCTTAGATTATTTAATCTTTATCCTAAAACAGCTAATTAGATGTATTCCCATAGTTGTTTGCATCGGATTACATAAAATATTAAGGCAAGACTTAGACCATTTTTAAAATGACATTTCGTTTTGTGCAGCTTTCAGAACATTTCCATTCAATAAAATGCAGCAGTGAGCAAATATAAACAGTGTGGGAAAAAAAACATGGTGCAAAAACGCATTAATATGGAAGTTTAGAGCTTTAAATATAAATGGTGCAAATATGCAGTATTTCGGTTTGGTGTTATCAGTTTAAAAAGGGTGTGGATTCAAGACAAGGGGTTATTTTGAACATTTCTCTCCCTTAAGGGGCCCACTGTCATTACACCCAGCTCACCAGCAGGGGGAGCTCTAATGCTAAAAGAGTCCTGGCTGATGAAACTGTTGATGGAAATGTGAAAGGCACTCTTGTTTTATAAACTAAGTGAAATGCCGTAAAGAGAAACATCATTCCATACAGATTTGATGAATATTATTACTTTATTAAGGTTGTCTTTTGTAATTAGACTGTTATGTCTATGTTAAAAGTCCCCTGTCCGGCAGTGAGCGTGTTAAACTATTATCAGCTGCTTCCATGCGCATGCTCGCCCGTCCTGATCTCCAGCCTCATAGGCCGCCCTTAGTGGGACGATCCCGGCGCAGCTTTGTGGGCTGGGCCTTTTGCTTCCGTAACGCTCACAAGCTCCGGGGGAAGCAAAGGTTTCCCGAAAGTCAGCTGCGGCGGCCCCGGCGGACAGGACTGGCTCAGACCGCTCGCCATTTTTCAACTTATCCTTTGGGGAATAAAAACCTTTATTTATCACTCATAAGGCTTTTCAATCTAACACAGAGGACAGCTCTCCATGATGATGGAAATGGAGGTTATTCATTCAAGTCAACAGGTAAATACATTATTTATTTTTTTATTTAAGTAAGCCTGATTTCTAGAAGAGATAACCTTCCCACTCAACTTATTTTCTTATACAATCTCCTAAACGGGTTTGAAGTGGAAACTTCATTTGTCTTACGAGAAATTAAATATTTTTTAGCTTATTTAGAAGCCTCACTTTTGTTTAACCAAGATGTAAAAACATTTATATAACAACTGAGCGCTGTCAAAGAAAATAGTTAAAAACAAGCCACACTTTCAGTTCTGCAAGTCATTCACTAGTGACGTTAATTCCCCCAGAGGAAATAAGAATCAACAATTATTTATAAATAAACTGATATGTGAAGGTTTAGGGTGTTTTTTTTCTCACTAAATATTTATATATTTTCCCTTTCGATCATCTTGAGGTGAAGTTTGGTAAACAGTCCTGGTGTCTCATGTATTTGCTCATAATTGCGCCCCCCTCCCTCCTCCCCTCCTCCTCCCTTTCAGGCATGTGATCCCATATCTGATTCACACAACCTTCTAACCACACTGACGCTTTTTATTTTTAAGGCATATGATCTTTTTGATGTTCATTTTTTTTTTTTTTTTTTACATAAAAAGGGAAAATTATTAAATCATTTTTTGGGGGAGAATATTTTCATCTGAAAACAATGGAAGAGGATTAGGGCCATTGGTTATTTCAGTTTATTATGGGAAAAGTCAGAATTCTGACTTTAATCTTAGAATCCTGAGATTAAAGTCAGAATTCTGTGATTAATGTCAGAATTCTGGGATTAAAGTCAGAATTCTGAGATTAAAGTCAGAAATCTGACAAAAAAAGCCAGATTTCTGACCTTTTTCCCATATTAAACTGAAATAGAATTTAAAAATAAGTTAACTTTTTTTCTTTTTTTCAGTGGCCCTAATCATCTTCCATAGAAAACAGGTCAGCTGCAAGTTGATATTAATAAATAATAATAACTGAACTTTATTAATCTCAGATTCGCAGCAGTGGGCTGCCTTAGTGCGGCGCCCGAGGAGCAGTGTGGGGTTAAGGGTCTTGCTTAGGAATTTGGGTGGATGCAGGCTGTGGGGATTAAACTGGATACTTCCAAACTTCTCAGAGCACCAACGCACTGCTCTAACCACTAAGCCAAAACATCCCAATTACTGACTTTTTTATAGCTAAACATACTTATTAAATCAACTTTTACTTATGTAGTATAAGAAGGTGTCTTAATTAAACTGGTTGGATAACAGAAACCCTGATAATTTCCTTCTGTTTGACGCTGAAAGATTCAATGTTATATATGGGATCCATATGTAGGATCTACAGATCTGTTGTATATTGTGCAAAGATCCATGTCTTTACCTAACAGTAACTAATGTGTTTAGATTTGTTGAAAATCTTGAGATGATTTTTCTAATGCCTTTTTAAAACATAAGTGAAAATCTACCTGTAGTGCTTCATGGGTTTTTTTTTTTTTTAAATTGGGGTAGATTTACTTACAATAGAAACGGGCTCAAAGTGAAGTGAGAATTATTGTCTGGATTTATTGATCAGAATCAGAAATAGTATTTAGATAGTATTTAGCTATGGATATGAATTGAAGAGAGGGGAAAGCTAGTTTTAATTATTTATGAAATCTATTTATTTTCCAAACCTATATTTAAGTAAGGGTATATTAAGCATTGGGAATGAGCTAAAAATGGGCTGGATTATCAACATGTTACATAGAATGGCTTCATATTAATTGTTTATACGGGTTTAATGCTGTATAAATCCTATTAGTGTGAGCAAAATCCACATGGGGACCATAAGGTTGGGCAGGTATTCTTTTTCTTTTTAATTTCTCTATTCTGAGCCTCTTCCCCAGATCTATTCCTGAAACCTTCACTTTAATGATAAAACTAGTGAACTTGTCTTACGGCTTTCAGTAACCAGAATTATCAGTCGGCCCTTTAAGAAACTCTGGAGCCGCCCCTGCTCACTGATTTTCATCACACTGGGTCAAAGGGTGGATTGGCCACTGAGCTGTGATGAAATACTGTGTAAAAAAAAAAACTAAGAGATAGGTCTACCTGTATAGCAATAAAAGATTGTGATATTTGTAATTGGTAGGTTGTAGTGTACTTTTTGTCTTCCTCTTTCACTCTAGGTATGACTGTCTGACACATGGCTGGGTATTGTCTAGGAAATACTTTGGGATATTTGAGACATTTCCATGCTCGGGTGCCAGCTTTAGGCTCCTTAGATCAATGTCATAAATACCTGGCTTTAAAAAAAACACAAAAACGGCCTTTTATGTTTTAAAACCTGGGTACCATATAGCTGTAAATATAAGTACTACACAGCGTGAAATAAGTGGCACATCTTTAGAGAAAGTACAAACAATTTCCAGCGTGTAAGCAAGCTTTTTAGGTCAGGGTGTTTTTCAGGGACCTGTATGACCTGTTTAATGTGCTTGAAAGGTGTGACTAACAGACCAAAAACAAGCTGTTTTTTAGGTGCGTATATGTTGTTTTGCATTTTTCTAACTTATTGGGGGGATGATAGCAAGAACAAGCTGTTTTTTTAAACTTGGACAAAACATCGACAACCACAAGCGGGCCTCCAGATGTCCCGCAGACGCTTTTTAAAGGACTTCCTCATTCTAGAAAATGCCATAATTTCTGGCTGTGCGCTCACCTTCCAGCCTGGGAGCCTGATTTATAGAAGGCAGCCTTGGTAATGTGTAATCCTTTTAGCGGTCGTGGGTCTGATGCAACACTAAGGCAGAGAGGGTTAGAGGGTTCCTATTTTGCAAGGCCAAAGTCAGAAAGAGTGTGTCAACAGTATCCAAGAATATACAGAAGCCTCTATTTGTCTGTTTTTTATTAAAACAGTGGAAAAAAAAAGAATTTACTTCCTTTTTACAGGGCACTGTTCTGTTTTGGTTCCCATTTGGTTTCCTTTTTCCTGCTCATTTAGCATAATAAGTCGTCTAACTCTTAACTTCTTTTTTTTTTTTTTTCACGCAAAATCGAGGAACAAATCAGTCACATGCTCAGTGGGCTCAGTGCACGCCCCTATCTTGTGTTTGTGCAACATCCTGAGGGCTGGTGAAATGGTTTCCTTCTGTAAATAAAGTCTGGTGAAAAAGCGTAGAAGAAATGCAAAATAATTTATCTTTCTCACTGTTGTTAAAAAGAAGGACAAATAACATTTAGACCCGGGAGGAAGAAATCAACAGGAAACAGTTTGAGAATGTCCTGGTAGTCGTTTTTCTCCCCACTTTGCCTCATTTGGAATGATGTAAATATAATGACCGGGAAACGGTTTTTCTGTATAAATGAGGGCAGATCACGGAATCAAAAAAAAAAAGTAAAATGATGTATAGTGTGATCTAAAAGCTAAACATATTCCCACTGCTGCAAAATAACACAGAAATATCTATTACATTAACACTAAAACTAATCATACCATGTAATTGAAGCAACACATAAATAACAAACATGACTGGTGGAAATTGTAGCGGTCATCTGTCAGCCAGCTGACTGACAGTGCACAGCTACAGGTGAGGAAGCTTTGCAGACAGGTTATCAGCATCTAGATATAAAGTCACAGCTTTAAACACCTTTAAAGATTTTATTGAAAGGTTCTCTGTGTTCAAAGACATTTTAATAAGATAGAGAGAAAGCACCGTGGGGATGATTGTAGAAAGAGTAATGCAGAGCTACGCTCCTTTACTCGGTGCTGCACACTTCCACTCCAACTAAAAAAGGCTTCTACAACTTATACCCCACTTACAGGAGAGACAAACTCACCATTTGGAAATGATTCCAAAGTAAAAGAGCAGACGTGATGTGAAAACCGAAGATTCTCTCCTTAGTCTCTTTAACTCTACGCAACGACTTTATGTGTGATAAGCAGCCGACTGAAAACAGACCTACAGTGATCAACCAACTCATGGCGATTATTTCAAACTTCTTTTTAGGTGCCAATCTGCCGAGTTCAGTTCTGACCATTCATGTTTATTGTTCATTTGCTTTGACTAAGCAGCAAAGCATATATTTTAGACTTTCATTTAACTAAGTGTTGTGTATTGAAATACATGCTGTTGGTTTATTTAGTTAAATAATGCAAGTATTTGACAGAAAAAAAATAAAATTTTCCATTTCCATTAATCAATCAGAGCTGGAAAGGGATTGTATCTATTTCTGATCCCTAGATGATAAGAATTGCTCCATAAATAAAGAAAAAGTAAAAAAAAAAAAATCTAGACCCTGAGCAACAGTTACAGTAGGACTGTCACTAAATGTAAAGTGTTTTTATTAAATGCCATGTATCAGTGCCTCGTAGTATATTGAGATGATTTTACACTTTTTTTAAGTGACTGTATAAAACTTAACTGCATACAATGACTCTTATCTTTTCAGTGGAACAAAGGGCTTTACACCTTGCTGTAATTAGATGGGTTTAAGAGGATCAGATGAAGATTTTCTTGGGTGTCTGGTGGCAACAATGGAAACAGAGAGCTACATTTATTATTCATTCTGCTTCTTCCCCTTGATACTCGGGCCATCGCTGTTGTCGATGAGCCGATACACGACGATGGGGTGTGGCAGCAGCACTAGCCTCGTATATCACAGCAGCGACTCTTGGTCTTGTTCCATACCTGTCTGTAGTGTCGCTGCAGGACTGCAGAGGCTCACAGCGCTCACTCTGTTTGTTTGTTTTTTTCAGGACATGGACTTGATTGACATTCTGTGGAATCAGGACATTGATCTTGGTGCCAGGCGGGAGGTGTTTGACATCAACCACCGTCAGAAGGAGCATGAGCTGCGGAAGCAGCTGCAGCTGGAGGAGGAGAAGAGGCTGCACTTGATGCGGGAGCAAGAGAAGGCCCTGCTGGCGCAGCTGCAGTTGGACGAGGAAACAGGAGAGTACATTCCCCGCCCGCCACCAAACGCCCCTGTGGAGCCGGCTGTCACACCTCTGGAGGTTACTCAGGTACAAGCAAAGACCATCATTACTCACGTTAGGGGCAGGACACTCCCACCTCATTTCATAGGTTGGGTCTGTACTGTCACTTGGTAACCTCTCCTTTTAGCGTTATTGGCACCACATAGGTGAGCCTGTTAGTTTTGCATCAGTGCATAGAACCCTAAAGACTTCTTAGATCTAAACTGTACAATATAGAACTCCATAAATGCAAAATAACGTTTAGCAAGTATCCCAGCACAAATGATGTAACAGTCTATTTTAACTTCTGCAGAATGTGGGCTTCACTCAGGAGACAGGTGGCAGCATGTCATTTGATGAGTGTTTGCAGCTGCTGGCAGAGACGTTTCCTGTAGAGCAAAATCAGGTAAGACCAGAAACTCAAACAAAACCCAAAATGAATGCCCTCAAGCAGAACTTGTTGGTTTTAACACGCTTCTGTCTCACAGAGCCCCTCGGTTTGTCTGGACACGCCTCCTGTTTCAGTACCTGCCAGCAGCAACATGATGTCCCCCGAGCCGACGGCTCTGTCACCAGCTGCCCTCTCCTCAGGTCAGCTGACTCCGCCACAGAGGGTGTCTCCAGATCTAGAGGAGGCCTGGATGGAGCTTTTATCCCTCCCTGAGCTGCAGGTATTATACTTTGGATTTTAAGTCTTCATGCCCTTGTTAAATAGAGCACGAGTAGCAGAGGCCTGGCATTGATGGGACATATTCTTTGTTTTTGTGTGGTATGGTGGTGGGGCCTTTATAGATCACGTGTTCACAGCTCATGCTGCTGTGATAAGGTTTCACTGTGAGAACCTTTAAGGACTAGTGATGGATATGCTTACATTGTAATGCAATTTAACTGATTAAAAGGCCTTTGGCTTTAGGCTGTCGAACCAGAGAGGGAGCGGCAGGAGTAGAGCCGTTGCTTTCTGGTGGAAAGGTGAAGATTTGCGTGCTGCACTTTTTCAGAAGCTGCACCTCCTATTTGCATTGGCAAAAGGGTGGAGCAGACTATCTGGTGCTGCTTCGACATGCCACTCAGTAGACTGAGTAGAGTAGAATTATCTACCATGCAATCCAATTAAAAATGTATTTTAGTAACTCCTCTTTGTGAATCACATTATACAGATTAATTACACACAAACTCATGTTTTTAAACCTTTATTTTTGTTATGATTATTTTCCCCTTACTTAAATAAAAGTATTTTATTATAGAAATGTGGCCTTAATGAAAAGTCTGTGAGCATATAATAGCACCGAACTGATGAACTTTTAAAGTGATGCAACAAACACAGGATTATGCCAAAAAACTTTTTTTTTTTAATTCATAAACCTTCATACGCAAGGACATATTTATCATCTGAATGGTAAAACACATTTGAACAGTTGGTTCTGCAGACTAGTGTTGCCAGATATTTCTTCTAAGACATCAGTGAACTGGAGCAACTGGTTCAGGTCCCACTTCCCAAAAAGGATTCTAGATAACATGCAATGTACTGTAAACGCTGCTGCAATAATGAAAACAGCAATCAGGAAATGCATTTCGACACGTTCACAGTGCCTTGCAGGTCTGTTCACTCCTAAGAGTTGTTCCCACAATAACATTGATGTGCTTCAGTGGGATTTTGTGTGCTGGATAGACACAACTAATGCATAAAGATTTCTTTGCAAAAAATGGCTCAAGTTAAATCGGATTCTCCTTAGAGCTTCTAGTTCTCATGTATGATTACAGATTTGTAATTTGAATTAGGCTAATATGACTGGTCCATTCTGAAACATTATGTGTTGATCTAAATCCCTCTTTTGTAACTTTGGCTAAATGTTTAGTCATTTTCCAGCTGGAAGATGAATCTCTACCTTAGTCTTTTGGCAGTCTCTGCCATTTTTTTTTATTATTTGGTATTAAGCTTTAGCTATCTTAAAATGAAACATGATGGTGTCTGTTTGAGGTTTTTTTTTGCTGCACATCATTGAATGTAAGAGAAACCCTTTTGCTACGCGTTTCTGGGCTCTTAACTGGTACTAAAGTGTATATGACACTTTTTACTCCCACATTGGCTCTCTTCTTTCCACTTTACCACAGAGAACAGATTTGAAAGTTTTTATTCCTCTTTACCATTCTGCATTACTTTATGCAGGTCTGCGTCATATAATCCTATTATAACCCATAGAAGTGTGTCACATTAATCAAATATAAGTCTGCTTTTACTAATTTATCTGTTGTTTTTTCTTCCAGCAATGTCTGAACATGCAAATGGAAGACACGCTGCAGACCACTACATACCCTCTGCCAACCAGCGCTGAAACACAGACTCCAAGCTACCCCGACTATCCCCCTGTCCAAACTCCTATTTTTAACCCCCTGACCAGCATCAGTGATGCCAAAACAAACAGTCTGAATGTTGGCCCGGCAGAGTTTATGAATACATTTGATGGCTCCGTTCCCAGCATGCCTTTGTTGGATGCTTTCAGACAAATAAAGGTGGACGCCCCCCAGCTGGATACAAGCTTCAGTGGAGAAGATTTTGGTGGAGTGTTTTATCCTCCAACTGAGCAAGAGGAGTGCAGCAGTCAGCCAGGCCAAGAAGAAAGTAAAAGAATGTGTGACTCTCCAAACAAAGTTGCCTTTGCGCACATGGACCTTTACAGCCTTTCCCCTGGAGATTCAGTCAACAGAAGCAAACAGAGCCTGACAGCAGAACACCTAGACTCAGATTCGGGATTCTCGACTAACGGAAGTCCAAATGACAGGTCTGTGTACGGAAGCGGGTCGTTTGGTTGTAGTGATTCAGAGATGGACGAAATGGATCAGAACCCGGGCAGTGCAGAGTCTGACTACTCTGAGATGTTTTCGTTGAATTTTGAACCTGAACACTTTATGGCGTCCAATTCGGTCACGGAGCTAAGCAGACCGCCGCAGCAGCCAGAAAAGAAACCTAAACAGCGCGAGGGGGACCCGGCGGAGGAAAGCGGCAATGAGGGCACTCCTTTCACCAAAGACAAAGCCAAAAAACGCTCTGATGTGCGTCTCACTCGAGACGAGCAGAGGGCCAAGACCCTCAACATCCCCTTCACTGTCGACATGATTATCAACCTGCCAGTGGATGACTTCAATGAGCTGATGTCCAAACACCAACTGAACGAAGCTCAGCTGGCCCTGGTCCGCGACATCCGCCGCCGTGGCAAGAACAAGGTGGCGGCGCAGAACTGCCGCAAGCGCAAGATGGAGAACATCGTAGGCTTGGAGGGTGAACTGGACTCGCTAAAGGAGGAGCGAGACCGCCTGCTGAATGATAAGACCAAGAACATGAAGAACCTGAAGGAGATGAAGAAACAGCTGAACAGCTTGTACCTGGAGGTCTTCAGCATGCTGAGAGATGAGCACGGAAATTCCTACTCTTCGTCAGACTACTCCCTGCAGCAGTCCACAGATGGCAGCGTCTTCCTCGTCCCTCGCATAAAAAAGACTTTTAAGAGCAAAGAAAACCACCCGTCTCCTTTGTAACCCGGTACTGCGTCATAATAGGATACTATGCAATAACTTTGTATTCACTCAGCTTTAAACTTTAGCAGCTTGACAGAACTGTTGTAGTTTCTGCTTACTCCTCTTGAATGTTGCGATGTTTTTTGATATTTTACTTTTATACTCTTATATCCTTACAGATTCTTTCACCAATATTTTGTAAATACAAACATTACTTGCTTTTCAGATTAAGAATGTTACTGTACCTGTGTATGTATATATATATATTTGTGTGTATGTATATAAATATAAATATATTTCTGTATACTCATGATTAATGAATTATTTCTTTTATAACTTACCTCTTGATTGAAGCCCAGTTTTTTTTATCCCATCTTCTATGCTTTTAAATAAACTAAATATCAAAAAAGCCTGTTTTGTTTTTTCATGATTTAAACACAACATTCTGCTTTCTGTCATAGCCACAGCCCAAAACAGATGGACAGCAACTACATAAAGAGCCTAATGAACTGTTGTGCAACAAACCACACGGTTAAAGTCAATTCTTAACTTTGAGGTTTTACTAAGAGTCATAAAAAAAACAGCAAGTAAGATGGATTTTGCATGAAAACAAAAGAATGACTGCTCTTAATCTGCTCTGCTTCCATGAGAGCAAGCTTTTGTTTGTACAGTCACTGGACTCTTTCAATTCAGTTGCTCCTGGCCTGAAGATCATACCCACCCCAATCATTGTGTTGCACAACAAAGAGAACAGTCCCTGGCAACATCAGAGCATGCTCAGTGTGATTCCTGCGTGACAGCTTGACAATAGAGCAATAAGCTGGGAAAATAAAGGTAAAAGGCTACGTAATCAGTCTGACCTGTGATCACTCTTTTATGTTCAGATACAACTGAACCTTTGATCACCAAGCCCTTTTTGTGAACACTTTAGATTTAAGTTTAGAAGGGAGCAGCTTAATGACATCAGAATCTTCTGCTTTTAGAAAATTATGACTTTTTTTTTTTCCATTGTGATTTTAGGAAATCTATTTGAGATTTAAGACATCCATCTTATCATAATGTGAGGTTTTTTTTCTTGACTCAAAGCTGGGCTTTTTGTATTTGAAAGCTTGTCCAGGATAAAAAAAAAACAAAAAACACTGAATGGTATGGTGTATGTGCTTAAGTGCAATGAGGAATGCCCAGAACTCTATACTGGAACAATCAAAGAGTCTTTCTATAAACGTAAGGGTCAGCGCAGGAGAGCCAGTTCCTCAGGAAAAGATGTGCACGGACACCTTAGGGACAAGGGACACTCTTCTGAGGGCAAAATGTTAATATTTTAGACAGAGCAGTTTGAGAGAGACATCAAGAAATAACATTTAGAGTTGGAACCCTCAGATTTCAACTTTCAAAACCAGCTTTGAGTTTAATGCAATGCAAAACAGATTAAAGTTTTTAACTTCTCCCTCATTAGATATTAACCCAGGGACATCTTTGGACAAAAAAATAAAAGTCTTCAAATGTAAATATAGAAGTCTAGTAGTAGACAACGAGAACTAACTTTATTCAAGATGGCTGCAACTCCCTTTATCAATAGTGGCTGTAACAGCTCATCCCCATTCATCCAATCAGCAAGTACCGCCGTTAGGGGGAATGGGCCAAAGTTCCAGCAAACTACTGGGACAAGCTTACTGAAAGGATAAACATTTGATCCAAGTTATAAGTTTATAAATGCTTAATATTGCTGATAAATTTCCAAGCAAATGTAAGATAAAAGTTAAATAATGTTAAATAAAAATATTCCCTACTGTATACATTATGGCATTTTAAATTACCCTAATTAAATAAAGGAAACAACTTGCAGTTTAGTTTTAGATAATTAAAAAGGGTTGTTGTATAGTTTAAAAATCTAGTATCAATTGTATTTATCAAAGTTATCTATCTGTAATCTATATCAAGTGTGCACTAAGAGCAAATGTTCTTACACCTAAAAACTGTTGATTTATCATTAATGCTGATGGAAAGGAAGCATATAAATTGAGAAAGGTCATAGTTTAATAGTTAATAGTGGGTGACGTTATGAGCTTACAAATAAACTATACAATGAAAAACCTTTAACTGATTTGTTTTAAAACGATAAAAGGTATTCTAAAGTTCAAACATTATGTAACAGACCAATGTCTTGTGACCTGTTTAAAATTTAATAGACTTTTCCAGGTGAAAGTCAAGTAAAAGTGGTTAGCCTTAAGACAAGATTTTTAAATTATATATACAAATATATTAATAAAGAAGTTAAAGTAGAATAGAAAACACGGCAAATCAGAAGACAGTCATTCCACACTGGGTTTTAAATTCAAAACGAAACCACTGATAGAAAAAAAAGTGTTTATTAAAAAAGAAAAAAAAAAATCCAATTACACTTCACATGAAAATCAGAGCAGTTCATCTACACTGACATGCTGGTGTTGAGCTGAGGAACGTTGTTGAGAACAGACTGTTCCACATGCCACTATAAAACTGTCTGGCAGCCGCACGTG